TGAACGAACGCTTTGCCATAGTTAGCATATAACTTCAATTTTCTAACAACAAAACTTTTCGCGCTGCTTTACTGCATTAAACTTTATAAGCTTTCTACATTTTGGCCAAATAGAAAACTTGCCAAATAACCAAAATGAGGGAACGAACAAACCATAAGCATCGATGCCGTGGTTATTTTCCTTCCTGCTTTTGTTGTTCTTATTGCAGCTGCGATTGCTACTGTTTCTGTACGCTGTTGCCGTTGTTTAATGTTGATGGGGTGGAAAAGTTTAAATTTCACAAAATGCAAAGTTTAACCAAACCAGTGTATGCATACACATACATACACGACAATACACAAGCCACATACCGGAGGATGCCAACGACAAGGGCCAAAATACCAAAAAAGGAAATCAAATCATGTAGAAGTAAGTTTTTTCAAAGTTTTCTCATTTACATGCAGCGCAATTTATGGTACATTAATTTTTTACAAAAATGTTGGAGAAATTCTGCACGAAACTTGTTTGTGATTTGGGCCAGAGGAAATTGAAACAATAACAACAAGTTCATGCATGTGCATACAAAGGTCCCGCAGAAAACAATTGGCTTTGGCGGGTGTTACAACTGCGGCTGACTACAGACGATGGCTGCTGTAAAGAAGAATCATTCCTTGCAGCGACAAAATGAATTGCGCGAGTAAGCGTTTATTGCGAGCGAAAAAATGCACAGCGTGATTTAAAAAGCTTGGCACATCGTTCTTGCATAAAATGCAATCTGTTAAATATTTAAGATTTATTTATGGATTTACACTTTTCTTAAAATATGGCTGCAATCATGACGAAAATAGGAATCTCTTTTACAGTGATTCACATAAGTATTTTGCCCAATTGTCATTATTAAATTAATAAATCCGCTTCTAAACACTTCCATACTTTCAATGGTTTTTGTAAATATGCTAGCGTTCTTTGTGTCAGCTAACACTAAGTGAGATATTTATGTATATAAATGTCACGCCCACAAAACTTTAAAGGAAATAGCGGGAAAGCAACGATACTCATTGCAGCCGGGTGGATATTTGAATTTGTAATTGGGATTCCATCTCTAACTCATTCTCTCAGCGTGATTCTTCAGAAAGAATCTATTGTTCTGGCAGAGGCATCAAATATGATAGATATGCTGCTTGCAGCGAAAATTTTTGCATGAGAACTTGCGAAAATTTGAAGACGCGCTTTTCTAAATAATAAATTTCAACTGAGTTTGGAAGTCAAAAGGCAACAAGTTACCAACTACTGCATTGTAAATGTTGAAGAACTGCGATGAAGAGCAATACCCCATAATTCGTAATTTTTTGCATATTCTGACGAATTTGAACTCTGAACGGCCTTTAACGACACCTCGGCTGAGGATGAACATGCTTCCTGCTAGATTGATCGGCTTAGTGTTGCTGTAAATTCATCATGACATTGAAGTCTCTGCAGAAGAAGTTCTCGATAGATTTCAAAAATTGGACCGACATCCTTTTGTTTTGTGAAAATTTTCTATTCAATACCTGAACTAGCTACAGTATAATACATAGCAATAAAGTATGTCACCCGCACGTCTATGATTGGTAACGTGATTTTTTGTAATTTATGATATTAGAAGTTCGCTTTGAAATTCCCCGAACCCGATTCCCCAATCGATGACGATGGAGCAGACGTTCCATTGCCCGACTAGGAAGAAGTTCGAATAGCAATTACGCGCCTGAAGAACAACAAAGCGGCGCGGCCGATGGATTGCCGCTCGAGCTATTCAAACACGGCGGCGAAGAACTGATAAGGAGCATGCATCAGCTTCTTTGCAAAATATGGTTGGACGAAAGCATGCCCAACGATTGGAATTTAAGTGCGCTATGCCCATTCCTCAAGAAAGGAGACCCGACAATCTGCGCCAACTACCGTGGGATAAGCCTCCTCAACATTGCATATAAGATTCTATCGAGCGTATTGTGTGAAATATTAAAGCCGACCGTCCACAAACTGATTTGACCTTATCAGTGTGGCTTTAGACCTGGAAAATCAACAACCGACCAGTTATTCACCATGCGCCAAATCTTGGAAAAGACCCGTGAAAGGATAATCGACACACACCACCTTTTCGTCGATTTCAAAGCTGCTTTCGACAGCACGAAAAGGAGCTGCCTTTACGCCGCGATATCTGAATTTGGTATCCCCGCAAACCTAATACAGTTGTGTAAGCTGACGTTGAGCAACACCAAAAGCTCCGTCAGAATCGGGAAGGATCTCTCCAAGCCGTTCGATTCCAAACGAGGTTTCAGACTAGGCGATTCCTTATCACGCGACTTTTTCAACCTGGTTCTGGAGAAAATAGTTCGAGCTGCAAAACTAAATAGAGAAGGTACCATCTTCTATAAGAGTGTAAGAGTGTACAGCTGCTGGTGTATGCCGATGATATTGATATCATTGGCCTCAACACCCGCGCCGTTAGTTCTGCTTTCTCCAGACTGGACAAGGAGGCGAAGCAAATGGGTCTGGTAGTGAACGAGGGCAAGACATCATCAAACAAACAGTCGTCGGACTCGCGACTTTACTCTAACGTCACTGTTGACTGTCAAATAACTTTGAAGTCGTAAATAATTTCGTCTATCTTGGAATCAGCGTAAACACCAGAAACAATGTCAGCCTAGAAATCGAACGCAGGATAACTCTTGCCAACAGGTGCTACTTCGGACTGAGTAGGCAATTGAGAAGCAAAGTCCTCTCTCGACAAACAAAACCAAACTCTATAAGTCACTCATAATACCCGTCCTGCTATATGGTGCAGAGGCTTGGACGATGACAACAACTGATGAGTCGACGTTGCGAGTTTTCGAGAGAAAAGTTCTGCGAAAGATTTATGGTCCTTTGCGCGTTGGCCACGGCGAATATCGCATTCGATGGAACGATGAGCTGTACGGGATATACGATTGACATAGTTCAGCGAATTAAAAGACAGCGGCTACGCTGGCTAGGTCATGTTGTCCGGACGGACGAAAGCACTCCAGCTCTGAAAGTATTCCACGGAGTACCCGCCGGGGGAAGCAGAGGAAGAGGAAGACCTCCACTCCGTTGGAAGGACCAAGTGGAGAAGGACCTGGCTTCACTTGGAATATCTAATTGGCGCCACGTAGCGAAAAGAAGAAACGACTGGCGGGCGGTTGTTAACTAACTTCGCGTAAATGGTAACTACGAAAATCAAGATGAAGAAGATAGTAAACAGTATAAAGACAACTATATTTAATATAATATAAGAATCTTCATTTTTCATGTTAATGTTTATTCCCCTTAAGAACTATTTATAGATCCGCCCCCAGGTAAAAACTAGACAATTCGCTTGGCACCGCCAACATTTAGGTTAAATCTCGTATCTCAGGATTCGCTTTACAGATTTCAACCAAACTCGGTACATGACATTTCTATATTACAAAATCGAACTACACCACTGTATAATTTTTAGGCGAGCTAAGTTTGATTCTTCTCATTCTTTCCAGTAGACATATTAGGAACCAATTAAAATACCGAGTTAAGAATTGTCCAAATTGAACCAAAACTGTTCAAGACCGTACAGAAAAAGTGTAACTCAGTATCTATATTTGCCCGTTTACCGAAAATATTGGTCAATGTGTGAGATAAATAAGAGAAATTTCGAGCAAATTCTTTCCTGGCAATATTACGTCTGAATGTCAATGATAGTTTGGATAGGATCAATAGTTTCCTAGACAACTATCTAACAAACTATTATGTAGCTGAAAGTGCAAGAGTGTGAAAAGTTAGGTTATATGCGAACTTAGCCCTCCCTTATTTGTTTTACATACAATTTACTTCTATGAACCACTCTTAATATAAACGAAGAAATATTGTGTTGAGTTCCATTTAAATATAACATATGGTCAAAATATTAATAGCTGCAATTTTTAGATAGAGACGAAAAAGAAGGTCATTGCAAATCTTAAGATTACAAAACAAAATGAACTCAAACATAGCGAAATGCTAAATCGATTCTAAGAATATTTAACTTATATTCGTCGCTAAGTGCTGGGGTAACTTGAATTTTTAAATTTTTTGAACATGTGTTTCAAATCAATTGTACTTTTGAATAATTTCAGTACACGCCTTTAATTCGAAGTGTAAGCAACAATAATATTTTCACACAAATATGTCGAACTTTGTGCTTGAATAGGGGTTTTGCATGGAGTTCTTTAATATTATATTAATATGAAGGAGACCTCAGTCGAAAGTCATCGTTTTTGAATATTTATGGTGATTTTGGCCTTGTAAATCAAGAACGTCCTTGGTGGCCAAAAACGGAAAAGAAACTGGAAGTTTTATCCGACGAAGACTATTGTCAAGCCTTAGAAGGTCGCGCAAAATTCTTGCCAGTCTCTTTTAAAAGCAGCGGGATGCATTAGAAAGTAAGACAATAGGGTGTCATGAATCTTTGTCAACTGTTCAGTGAGAATTTCATGAGATTACATTAATTGGAAGTAAAGTTATTGCGTTTTAAGTGTCAATATGTTTGTGATATCGTTGCAAAGATGAGCTTTGAACAAAGAGCCAACATAAAATTTTGTTGTAAAATTGGTAAAACTTTTACTGAAACGTTTCAGTTGATGAAAAAAGTTTATGGCGATGATTGCCTATCCCGTAGCGTATCAACGTTTTCAAAGTGGTCGTGAGGACATAAATGACGATCAACATGTGGGCCAATCAAAATCCGTGATCACCGGAAATTCCCTTGAAACAGTTCGTGACTTCATCAAAAAGCAGTCGAAATCTTCATACGATTGATTGAGTTGGGGGCCTACTTGAAACACATAACTCATGAAACATCCTTTATGAAAAGAAAACAGCAGGTTCAAAAAAGAGACTTAGAGCTTATTTAACAGATAATAAATTTATAATTTTGAGTAAAAATATAATCGCTATTTTACAATTACAAACAGATATGTTTACAAAATTGACACCAACACACGCGTACTCACCCAAATTTCCTGGGATAATGGATCCATGAAACTGAATACACCAGGCGTTTGCTTTACCGGTTTCTTAATCATTATTGAAATGCCCAGCGACATAAAAGGCTTGCTGAAATCGATAACACGCTCGCGTTCGGCGGTAATAGTCATGGCAGCGATTGCAATATCCGCTTCCTGTGTGGCCAAATATACGCAATAAAATGCCACGTCAGTGGTAGGCACATCAATGGAGTCATGTTGTTTCATTTGGATGTTTTTGTTTGCGGTCGTAGGCGCGTCGCGAAATTCGGGGTATGCAATGAAATCGTCCAACGATGGCAAAAGATAATCGTTACCGAGAGATAAAGGCGCCAGTCGACGTATAAAATGCGTTGTGTGTTGGTTGGTGGCAGTATACATGAACGGAGATTGGGGAGAGAAATAAAGAAAATATTTTGAACGCGTTGTGGAACAAAAGTGTTCATGCAATTGGAATAAATTCGTGTGCAATCAATATGAAAGTGAGCACGAGCGCACCCGCTTGTATACTTACCCGCCGTACCAGTTCACCGACCATGCCATCCCAGCCGCCGCGCACTGTGGGATTCTCTGAACCGTAAGTGCCATCCTTGACCAGTCGTAATTCATCTGCATGACGATGGTGAAGGCAGATCGGCGGTGGTAAGCAAGAGGAGAGAAAGTATAACACAAAGCAGAAATGTGAAAACTTACCCTAAATATCGAATAGCAAAACCGCACATAAGCATTATTTATTTCAATAGTTATAAATAAATAAGTGCTTATAATAATAAAAGCGAGATGTACCATAGATGAGACTGTTAGTGCACTTACTCTATGAACCATTAAGGAGCTATACCAATATGACAAATTTTTTTTATTTCCTTTTTCGATAGCCTATATTTCTTCGTATCTTTAATAATTTTTGTATGACAGTGTTCTAAGGAGCGACCACTCGGAGGTGCAAACGACATTTTTCAAAATTGCTGGCGTCATAATTCAACGAAAAATTAACCGATCGACTTCAAATTAAAACTGAGTACTTTTGACTATATTTTCTATACAATGACCTACGATCATTTTGATTGGTTGAAAATTATCAATTTGGCATTAAAGGAACGATAATTTTTATACCCTGAACACGGTATATTAAGTTTGTCACGAAGTTTGTAAAACCCAGACGGTCGGAGACCTTATAAAGTATATATATAAATGATCACTATGTCGAGCTGAGTCGATTTAGCCATGTCCGTCTGTCTGTCTGTCTGTCCGTCCGTCTGTCTGTATATATACGAACTAGTCGCCCAGTTTTTAAGATATCGTTTTGAGATTTTGCAAATGTCATTTTCTCTTAAAGAAGCTGCTCATTTATCGGAACTGCCGATTTGTCGGACCATTATAACATATAGCTGCCATACAAACTGAACGATCGGAATAAAGTTCTTGTATGGAAAACTACACCATTTTGTAAATTTTTTATATTTTTCACAGATCGTATGTCATTGTATAGGAAATATCTTTAAGTTTAATAAACTTTTAAAAAATTTTTTTCAGTTACTCATTCGGCAGAAGACAGCCCATAACCCCGTTATTTTTCAACATTTATGTAAAAAAAAAAGTTTTAGAATATAGCTGAAAATATACCTTACTATATTCAAAAAATTTCGAAATATTCAATCGCGTAATTTCTCTTAAAAAAATTCACGAAAATCACTTAATTTTTATGCGTCACACTGGTATAGCCCCAAATATTCCTATAAAAAAATGAAGGATCTGTAATGATGTTTTGGTAATTGAAGCGAGATAAGGGTGTTTTCTTTATTGTTTGGCATTTATCAGCTATTTACAATTTTGACCCTAAATTATCGACATACTTTGTTCGTGTTCTCCAAAAACAAGATAAACATGCTTGATCAATTACTATGTGTATCTTAATTATATAGTCCTGATTTCTCTAGTAGCCATTGTGTTCATTAGAAAATTAAACTTATTAAAACCTTCAACCACTAACCACTTCAGAGCTCAATTACCTCCTGAATAGCCCTAATTTTTTTCCGACAATTAAATTTTCTTAAAGCACCGTCTTTCGAATGCCATAAAAGGAATGTAGTTAAGGTTTTATGGAATAAAATGAACATGGAACTTATCGTCAACAGAATGGAAATATTTATGTTCCTTAACTTAAACGCAATACTCCTGGTAAGTGAGTCAATAAAATTTTGATTGCAAATCTACTATGACTCACACACATAATCACGTATGTATGTGTACACATAAATCTCTGCAAACGTATGCACTTTTCATACATCGCCAAATACACTTGAATACTCACAATTGATGCCCAACTTCTTGGCCAATAAATCGGCTAAGTCCTTGCAGTAACCCTCAAAGCGGTCATTGCCATCCAATTGCTCACCAATGCCGGGGCGTTTCAACATCATGTACGGCTCCTCGAGCAATGTGGTAACGATATATGTGCGATTCTTTTCGATTTCCGCATGCGGCCGTAGACGCACGTACTTGGCGGAGAGCGGTTGAAGGCCAGCATCATCACTCCATTCAGCCACTTTCACCATGGCGCTGTTGACAGTCATTTCGACAACGTGCAGCGTGTAGTTCACCCTCCGACCATCATCGTTAAATTTAATGTCGCCTGTGAGACCTTCGATTTCCACCTGTCCGGAGGGTGATTGTGTGGTAGTAAAGCACATAAAACAGAGAAGATGAAAAAGAGATGAGGGAAGGCAAATAATGAGTTTTCAACTAGAACAAAGTGAGAATAACTATAGCTGGTTGTGTGACCTGCGTGCTCGTCGATTTGTGTGTGGGTGGCAGGTGAGTCCTACTCACATTGACTCATATACATACTTATGTATAAAGTATATATGAACGTGTGTGTATGCCACAGTAGCACGGTATGCCAGCGTCTTTGTTGATAACGGTTTAATGATGCGGAGTGTAATGGTTGATTTAAATTGCGCAGCTGTAGAAAATTTAATTGCATCGACGACGTGACGTCTATGTAATATCTGTATGTGAAAGTTTCGTGTTGTAAGCGCTTGTTATGCAATACATGACGACGTGTGCCCACGAAAATGTGATATCCAATTAAATGTTGTTTTTGTTGCCAATTACTCGCAGCTTATTCATTACACCATGACTTGACGGTGAGCTTCCTTCAACAAGTGCGACCGTTGTGCACATATGCACGAGCTTACTTGCCACATCCGCACCTATGTAGGTATGGCTGTATTTTATATGTTTTATATGGTGTTTTTGCTGAAAGCCAATGAATGCATGAATGTGTGTTGAACGGACGATTTTCCACTGACGTGCTACTAATTTTGGCTCATTATTCAGGCACACATCAGCGCAGTAATAAACAATTGCGATAAGTAATGAAGTTTTTACCAAGCAGGTAGGCAATTTTTGAGAGACAATAATAATGAATTAAACGAAGCACACCTAATTGAGCACATATACAGTGCATATTTATCTTACAAACTGAAACACAAAGAATACGTGTTTCGCTATTGATGACTTAATTATTGCAGTTTTTTCCAGCGACGCAATCATCATTTTTAACACTGAGTTCTCATTTTATAAGTCATCAAGGAAAGCGACTGAATGACACTGGAGCACTGAAATGAGTAAAGTATTTCTCATTTTGATGAAAGACTATATCATAAATAATATTTTTATAAGAACTTTGCTTTCTAGAATAGAGGCAGGTATGATTCTTTGTTCAATTGCTTTGAGGTTATTAATAGTTGAAATCTATGCATAGCTAAATCTGAAAGTATAATCAGCCAACGATTTTGGTCAATAATTTCGTGAAAATACCATGTCAAATAAAAATCAAGTACTTGATTTTGATCTGCCACTTTCCATGTCAGCTTTACTTTATAATACTGATATTAATAATCTTAAGAGTATAAATTTTAAGTTAGGCGTGTCCCCATCTTTTTTTAATGCCGTTTTCTCTTCTTCAGTGTGTGGCCTTCTGGCATTAAGTTGCGTCCCTTCAAGTTTTTTCCAAAGGGAAGTGAAAACAGTGCTGTAGATTAGATGATGCGCCTTTTAATGACCATTTTACTTGTGAGTTTCCTGCACATTCCTCAACTGGCTCTTGTCTTAAGGTGTACTACCAAAATTTATCGGGTATTAGGTGTAAATCAAATATTATTCGCAACTTTGCTTCACATTTGGACTTCGATACTATCGTTATTGCTGAGACTTGGCTGAATTCTAGTTACTTTGATAGTGAATATTTTGACTCAAATCTCTACTATGTCTTCCGTAAGGAAGCCTCTTGGGTCCACTTCTCTTTGTGCTGTTTCTCAATGACATTTCCTGTTGCTTCTCTTTCACTAACTTTCTATTATATGCAGATGACTTAAAAATTTTTGCAATAATCAAAAACTCTCAAGATGTATTCAAACTTCAATGTGATATTGATGCTTTTTATGATTAGTGCCTGAAATCGAAGCTTTTTCTTAATCTAGATAAATGCTCTCAGATCTCTTATGGTAGGGGACATAACATCTTATCTACAAGTTACAATATTTCTAATTGCGTCCTAAAATGTGTTACTGAAATCAAAGATCTTGRGGTAATCTTTGACAACAGATTTTCTTTCAGTAATCACATCAACTATATTACTTCTAAATCATTTTCTGTGCTCGGCTTTGTCCGTCGAAATGCTTTAAATTTTTCCGACCCCTACACGTTAAAATTACTGTATACATGCTTTGTTCGGTCTATTTTGGAGTACGTAGTGTTCATTTGGAGACCACATTGCATATCACCAATTAATAGGATCGAGCGTGTTCAAAATATTTTTCTTAAATTTGCTCTCCGCTCCCTAAATTTTGTCGACCCCATACCATCGGATACATCTCGTTTATTGCTTTTACATCTTAAATTACTAGATAATCGACGGTCCGTTCTCTGCCTTTCATTTGTTTTCAATGTAATTAATGGGAATATTGACTGTCCCTATTTATTAGGGATAATTAACTTCAATACTCCTCAGCGTTGTCTCAGGTCTATTTAACCATTTTATTACAAAAAAAAAAAAACAAAAAACAAATTTTGCTGAATATGCTCATCTCAAGCGTGCTATGCGTGAGTTTAACTCGATTTCCGAAAAAGTTCTTCTTGATTTTTCGCACTCTAGGGTATCTTTCATGAATACCCTCAATTCCGTTTTTTAATTTAAGTTATCTATCTATGTAATTGTAACTAAGCTTTTTTTATAGTTCTAATTTGCATCCTAATTTCTCGACTAGTCTGTAAGAATTAATGTTCATAGATAAATAAATAAATAAATAAATAATAGTTCAATATTAGCAGTTCTGACAAATGGACAGATCAACACAGATATATGCAGAAATCTGGACAAACGCTGAGTCACGCTGAACATTCATATATATTAAATACTATATATTTATCAGTGCCTAAAATACAAAATGGCGTAACATCACTTTTCATAAAATTAGATTCGAAGGAAAAAAAATTTAACAGGAACCGCTCATATTGAAACAAAATTCTAGTTTATGGTCTCTGACTTTCTTTTTGGGTGCTCTAAGCTTCCTGGCAAAGTCAATGTACATACGCAGGAATCATTTTAAATGATTTAGAAAATGAACTTTACCGTTTTTTTAGGTAAATCATATCGCACAAACTGTTTTTCAGTTTGATTCACAAATCATTCATGATATCCTGATGCCGTTCTCTTCAATGGCAATGAAAGTCGAAAGCAATCAAGCATCTATCAAGATCTCTCAATAAAATGAAAGTATTTGCTGAAAAATGAAAATGAAGTTGACGCTGCAGTTTTTAAACGTTTTTAGTTTTTCAGGAAAGTTTCAAAGGTTTGGGCAATATTAAAATATAATTTGAAGATCGTTTTATTTTCGGTGGCTTTTGGATTTTCAGAAATTGCTCTTTTGTAATCGGAAAGACTGTGAAAAAATGTTTCGGCCTCTTAATAACCGTAAATATGCTTCAACAGGCAATTATATGAGTAAAATGAATACAGTAATGCAATTTACCCGCTATAATGCGCTATATGTATATAAAGATATGTTCGTCCCCAAAATAATTAAATATCTGATAGATATTTTAGCAGTATGCTTCCCATTTTATCAATTTAATACTCAGCATTTCATCACCTATGAACCATTCTTCATTATTTTCCAATGTCACCCCTATTACTGTTTGTGTATGTCCACATGATTCCGCTTTCAGTGAAAGTCCCACGTCGCCATTATTTTCAATTCACTATGTTCGCACATATTATATTTGTACTCAGCACTTATCCACTCAACCAGTGACTGCATTAGATTTCCAACCACGAATACATCGAATCCCACAAGGGTCTTACAGTTTTTAAACTGTTAGGTGACTCTTTGCCCTCGTTGCTCTAAATAAATATTAACTGACTTCACTTGTACCTTAGTTTGTTGCGCATCGTTGTTGGGTTCTGGTAAGTACACATATCCGCCAACACCTTGCCACCCACACATGGTACCACAGCAACGCCTTAACATGGGTTGCTTTTCCACTCGCTTACCTTTCTCAAATAGCGCGAAATTTTATCACCATGTTCCCATGGGTTCACCCAACCTTTCGATGTGTTGCAGTCGAGCGCTCGAGGCATTGTCCCGCCGCCACCACCATTGCCACCACCGTTACCAATGCCAGTGCCGCCGCCTCCACCTCCGCTACCGACGCTACCCCCGATTCCATTGCCAATGCCGCCAACGCCGCCGCCAGCTGTCATGCCCAGTGTACCGTTAATGGATGTGGAGGCCGCTGCCATTAGTGTTTGTTGACCCCGCCGCTGGATGTTGTTGCGGAATTGGTCGGGTTTCTTGCGCAGTATTTTGTTGAAGGCTTCGACCAGCACGAAAACAGCATCGTACATGAGGGCTGCCTGTGCCTGTGGGAGATGGAAGAATGATTGAGAAAATAAAGTTAAGTACACAGACTTGGTGTTGGTTTTGTATTTAGTGGTTTTATTGTTGTTGTTGTTATAGCTATTGGTTGATGTACCGGAAACGGGAGGATTTGTTAACTTATAATGAGCACATTTCTTCACGCTTTTGTTTAGTCGGACAACAAGCGTGTAAATACCTAAGTATGCCGAAGAGTTAGTAAGTGGGTACTTAGGTGTATGTACTTGTAAATGAAAGAGTATGTGATTTATTTGCCGCTCATGGTCAACTCCTATCAGTTGTGAATCAATTGCTAATGTGAACTAGTGCTATTTATTTATATATTTATTTTTATACCACGTGCGCGTAGACATAGAGTAAGTATTTATTTATGTATTTAGTTGTCATTCGTAGTATTAATTGTCTCCCAGTTAATATGTTTGCCCTAAATTAAAACCCCTATTAATTGTGCGAATAAAATACATATCGCCCAGATGAAAGCCTCCATAAGTCTATGAAACTAATGCCTAGACTAGATTATAAGTTACAATCCAAGATCAATATCATTTGGCATAGAATATATTGCAATGCAATATATCTTGGTTAAAGCATAATATTATGTCCACAATAATAGTTTTATAACGGGTGAACCAAATAGAGGTACTTTCTTAAGCGACAACGTTTCGTTATATGAACTCTTTAAAAGTTCCAAGAAGATCCAACGTTTTCAAGCCAAATTTTGTTCAGCGATGAGAACTATTTCTGGCTGAATGGATATATACTCGTAAACAAGCAAAGTTGCCGCATTTGTCACGAAAAGTAACCTGAAAAAATTCGAGAGCTGTCATTTCATCCAGAAAAAAAAAACGGCTTGGTATGGTCAAATTGAAACTCGTCACCTTGGCGACATTTGCTTTCGACATATGTAAAGTCTAAAGTCTAAGCAGACAACCCCGCTTCGACGCAGGCTTCGGCGCGACGGGTGTCATTCGGCAGTTACCAGTCGAAATAGTCCAACGAGTTATTGAAAATTCTACCCAAAATAAATGCTAAAGAATTGTTAGAGACACCTTGACGCAGTACAGCACGCACCAAAGACACTATTCCCGCCATGTAGCAGAAAATCGCAAAAGACCCGAATGCGCCATAGCGATCAATGATTGGAGCAGTACCCATCTAATTTTGGGATCTGGGGAATTTCGGAACTCCGGTGTGCAGGTTCACAAAATCAAACTCGTGCAAAATTTGAAGCAGAACGATCACCCAGCACATTGCAAGTTCAGTGAATGAGCGCATACCGAAATGGCCACCGATCCCAATTTGTTTATCGATGGAGCTCAATTTTGGTTTTGTAAGTAACATAATACACAAAACTGTGCAATTGGAGTGGATATGATATTCCATAAGCCTTTGTTCAGACGCCGCTATGTTGATGTTGATGTGAACGAGCTTTGGTAACCAAAAGACGGCGCCATTATGTACTACCGTGCTAATTGTTATTCAAAGAGCATCTAGAACGCGTTGACTATGAACCAAGTCCAGGACTTCCATCAACTGATGATCAAAACGTCAATAGAATAAGGGTATTAGCACTTCAGAATCAAGGATTAACAGAAAGAGGCATCGTTGGAATTTCGGAAGGATTAGTGAAAAATATTTCGAAAAATCACTTAATTTTTATCGAAAAAAGCGCCTCGTCTGTAAAGCAATGCTTTCTGACTAACGAGGACGTCATGAAGCGTATTAGTACTGGCGACGAGTTTTGAATCAATGTTTAGGACCCAAAAATAAAGGAATATCATGGAAAAGGTCAGCCGTTGCCGAAAAAATCACGTCAAGCAGTTCAAAAATAAAGGTTATATGTACAGTTTTCATGGATTATCGAGGTATGGTGCATTCCGAATTCCTTCCGACCAGCCAAACTGTCAACAATGAATACTATTTGAGTATGATGCGTAATTTGCGGAAAGCTTTTCGTAGAAACAACAAACTCAAACGACCGCTCCGGGGAAATAATCAGCTTATTGAACAAAACATTGGTGAGCACGTTACCACATGTCGTTCACCTGTGGCGGGCTCAAAGATCGGGCGATTTAACACCGCTGGCATATTTTTTCAGAGATTGTGTAAAGTCACTCCTCTACACAGATAAATCTGAGAGGTTGGAAGGAAATTGGGCGGTCCGGCTGTAATTTATATTCATTAAATCCATACGACGACGGTCAATGGCCGAAATTTTAATATATATCCGTAATATCAAATCGGTTTATTTATAGTAAAGTTCAATTCTTGGATTTAATATTAAGGTATATGCGACTTCCACATGTCTATAAAAAAATAAAATAAAATAAATATAAAAATTTATTTTCAACTTTAGTGGAAAATAAATATAAAGTGATATGCTGATTAAATTTGGTGGGTTGTGTCTTAGAAAAAATATTTTTTGTTATACGATGTGTGTCACTCGCAGAAAGGAATGTTTTTCAAATTAGTGAAACCAAGCTAGCTGCAAGTTAAGCAGATGAATCGTTAAAATAGTTATTTTTATTAAATTTCGATACATTTCTACTTAGACATTTTTGGAATCTCATTAAAGGCAGCTGTTTTGATATGCTCGATTCACGAATAATAATATTTTAAATTTTAATCAGTCAGTAATTTAAAATTGAAATGTGTACAAACAATATAACCTCAAATTCCCACATAGTCCATAAAAAAAAAAAAAAAAAAGGTTTCCAAGAAATTTTGCGCCATACAATCTAGTTTGAATTAAATTTTATAGAGTTATATATAAATATTTGTACGTACATAGAACAAAGCGTGCTCACACAGATCTATTGCAAAAAAATATGCCCCGATTTATTTTAAAAATCCCCATTTCATTGAATTGCTTTCCGCACACGCTTTATTATTATTTTGACTTGTGGAGTGAGAATAATATGCAGATCAAATGCGATTTAAATATCGTTAGGTATGTTATCAAAATATCCTCTTATCCTGCGAAATAAAAGACAGACGAAGCACGTACGAAAACTTTGACACTTCTCATATTTTTATGTTCCTGTAATTTTTGTTGTGCTTTTTGTCTACAACTTATACCCTTTTTCACATTTTGACGTTAAGAGCGCATGCACAATTCGTTTCGTGTCTGAGTGGGTGTAGGCCTTGCTATCACTGTGTCCTATCGACATTATCGCCAAATTTACCCTGCCAAAAGCGAACAAATAACAAAATTATAATAAGAGTACAACGATGACAGGAATAAACAAAGCGCACAAAAAATGTCGAGAGCAAATACAAACAAGTAAAGTACATGTTACACACACATATACACACTTACTTTTTGTGTTGCGTATATTGTATGCCCAAAAATCATAGCGAACCGTAAAAGTGAATGGTTGGTTGGCTGAGCTGACTGTGTCATGTGATATGCGTTATGAGTCCTATAAGTGATGTTGTCAAGAAGTTGCGTATTTATGGTTGCTTCACATGTACATATAAGTACATATGAATATATGGTTGGAGCGTTTCCTACAGTGGCTAAATCAGAGTAGTCAGAAGGGATTTGATTGGGAAAATTAAAAAGGGCATGGCAACTGTCGCAAATTTGTATTTCTAAAACAAACATACATAAGTCTCGAACAATTCGATATAAAATATTTCCAAAGAATACAATTGTCTTACGCATCGTTTTTGAAGTGGTATGCTTGTGATCAATATTATAAAACTGACCTTTACGGGTTAGGTGTTAGTCTAGTATGAAAAGATTCGATAACTTTTTACTTAAGGTACATATATTTCTAGAATCATAAAAGCATCTTTAAGTAGTTTGGAAACTGAAAGAATCCCTGACCATAGGTTGGACAGCTTGACGCAGTCAGTTACTTAAAATTTGGACCGCATTTTCATCGGAACTGAATATCTCAAAGCGGTTGCGTGTAAATTAATGTTCATATTGCAGCTTTTTTCCAAATAATACATTGCTCATTTTACGGTTAGAAAAATAGCGTATATTAGTATATATAGTTTAACGAGGCTTAAATTTAGAAATTTTTCTTACTCCTCGAATAAATCATTAAGATTTATATAGGTCTAATACCTTACCAACACTACATACTAATATGGATATAATACAATTGGCCACTTAGTTAGAAAGAGTTTATCATCAATTGGTTTCACTGCTGGGTTGTTATAGACATATTTACGTTAAGTATGCAAACATGACTCAAAGCTTTGGTACAAACTTATAAATATATAAAAACATGTATGTATGTGTGTACGATTTTGTGTACTTAAGTTAACAAACAACTACTACATGAAACGCCTGTGGTTAAGCAAGTCAATCGCATTGTTTTGAATGCTTCTACACTTGTCAGCGTAAAGCATATATAAGGATGGCTTAATGTCATATTCCTATACAGATTTTGTTGTAGCTATATATGTATGTATATGATAAATATTTTTGTATTGTTTACGTACCGAAATTGATTCCCTGCCGGCGCCAATCGATGTTGCCGGATCCAAGCGCTTCCAACTGTCAAAGAAATCACGTACGAACCGACGATTAGTGTCAACAATACGAAATCCGGTTATATTGATGGCACCAAATTCGATGATTTCACTCTCCCAACGATCGTCCATTACCTGAAACGGATCAAATCAATGCCGGCCTATGAATGGGCAATGCAAGAACACTCTGAAACAAAAACGTTCAAAAAAACAATATCGAAAAAAAAAAATAACAAGCAAAAAGCGTTCTGACATACGCCTGAGTCTACAAATCGGATAAATGTTCGCCACAAGTATTTCCCGAATCAGCATGACTTTTGGCATTGCACTAAGTGAAAATTGGCACGTAGCGCCAGATTCAATGGCAACACGTACAACATGGATAATTGGTTATTAATGTGGTTTCAAACATTGAAACCGCCGAACAAACCGAAAAAGCCACATAAATCGCTTTGCGGGTGCCCGCACAAATAAAACTCTGCCATAAAAACAGACAAAACTACATATGTATTTGTATGTAGGTCGTGTATAGCACCGATATATGAGCAAAAGCCAAGTTGTGCTTACGCTGTGTGCATTTTGTGTTAGTCAGCATATTTGTTTACATTCACCTTTGCTCATTTGTGGCTTGGCAGTCATGCAAAACGATTTATTTACTTGGCTTTTATGCAGGAGCGTGCCACTGCAGCTATACACTTATTGTGGGAGTGTGTGCGCACAAAGATATTAGTACACAAATGAAAACATAAAACAAAAATATAGTTTTTTTTTTTTCGCTAAAATGTATGTGGATAGGCAAGTGTATGTAAAAGTTGCTCTTACCAAACCGCTTAGCAAATAGTGATATGTCCTTCTTCCGAGCGATATATCGCGCACATGTTGAATCAGTATCTGTTTGGCCATTTCCGTTGGGCAATCCAGCACAATGTATTTGTTGGTGAAGCGTCCCAAATCCTCGAGCGTATGCAGGAAGTCGATGGCCATTGTTACATTTGCAATACGCTTTACCATTTCCACTTGAAATGACTCGTTGCCGGGTTTAAGCCCTTGGTAAATCTGTTGCAATCGCAGGAGTCCTGCAAGGGAGGAGATGATAGATAAGGTAAATTGAATGCATGTATATTTGTATGTATCTCTAATGGTACTTTTTCGCGGTTGAATATATATTGTAAATGAAGGCAAGTTTACTACATTTCAATTACATAGTCATACAAGTAGTTCAGGGTTAATTAACAAGTAGAGCATACAGCACCCGAGATTAAAATTTGTTGAAGTTAGTAAGTATTTTGTCAAAATTAGAAGTAATTGTTAGGTTTTTGGTATAAAAGATAAACATTCCGGAGGAATACAAGAAAAAACGTTAACTTCAATTTAACTGAAGATAAAATAGTTAAGAAAAAATGTCTATACAAGAACTTGATTTTGATCGGTCAGTTTGTAAGACTGCTATATGCTAAATTAGCACGATATGAAAGTATAATCGGAAATTATCGCATTGCTTTAAGGCAAAACCGAGTTTCGAGATATCTTTTAAAACAAAAATTTATAAAATTATTGCCACAAGGAATTGATTTTTGCAGTGGTGTGATTAGGTTCTGAACATCCTTGTGTGAAATATTTGAATATGAACATTTCCTAAACAGAGTTCTATTTGGCCATATTGAGGCGTTTGAGTGAAAAGATCAGAACAAAACGGCAGGAATTGTGTAAAAACAATTCATGGACTGATGATTGTGACCGAATTTAAAATCAAATCTTATTGAATACCATCGATCAATCACCGGATTCATCAAATTTGGATCCGTGTGATTTTTTCTTGTTAACCAAACTAAAATTGACGCTCTGTGGAAAACGTTTTCAGTTGATCAATGACGTAAAGCTGAGAGCCATCTGAAAAAAATGCTTATGAAGCAAAGGCCTTTGATTTTTGTCATAATTAATTACATGCATTTAATATTTCTGATTACCCTTGTTCCTTTGCAAAAGGCTAGCAGAATCTAAATTTATCCCTTCTCTTAGATGAGTCTCATATAAAGAATTAATGAAATGGAATTTGCAATCCATTTACCTGCAGTAATAATTATTCAATATTTATATTGAAATTTTTAGTTTATAATGAAATTTTATAATTTATCAGAAAAACTTTTACAACCGTTCATATATAAATTTATAAATACCAAATAAGAACGAAGCTCTTTATATTATTTTAAGTATTATCTTCTCGTCATTAAACCTGCACTTCACTGCTATAAATATGTATATGTTTCATTGATTCTTTTGATGTTTTTGCAGACGCAATGCAGTCATGGCAAGTGTGAATAAATAAATAAATAAAATAAAAGTAAAAGCAATCTAAATTCAAAGCCAAAAATCATACTATCAATCGCATATTTACCACAAATACCGCCCTTGCACATCATATTCTGTCGAATCATCTTTTCAGTGTGCTCACATATTTCTAACGTCATTAAATTTGACGCACACAAATGTCAATAACACGATAGAAAATAGAAAATGTGATACATACTTAATGTATACAGGACAAGCATAGATGAAACCCACACATATGCTCAATCATCAGTGATAAAGTATCAAAAGATTTCATAAAATGGGATTCGCGAAATAAGAAATAATCACATAAAATATTATATAAAATAAAATAAAATGAGCATACGTGTTTATAGCAATGTGTACGTAACCAACTGAAGCTGATGAGGAAATTAATAACAAGCTTTTATATATTCTCTACACACATCCATCGATGTGCTGATGATGTTTTTCCATTAAATTCCATTTGATTTCCAGGCAAGTGCTCGTTGACGCGTATGCTGAAGCATACACATGCGTACTTATTTGTACAATTATCGGGAATCAGTTCAAAGTCAAAAGTCAAGGCAAAGCATATGAGCAGGTGGGAAGCAGAAAAATTAGTTTAGAAGAATGAAGCATGCACGTGTCTGGCCTCAAGCTATTTGAAAATTGTTGCATGTAAATCTGATGGCTTAATAGAAAAGAGTTTACCCGCAGTAAACCAGGGCAGAGAGGGAGAAAGAGACAGAATAGAACATAAAGACTCGAAAATCTTTCGTATATGCTTTAATAATAATCTATCCATCCTAAGATAAAGTTTTTTTTTTGGGGAAATTAGTAATTTTGTTAAGAAATTTCACTCCTTTTACTCAATACATCATCAATTTTATACTCAAATAACTCTGTACATTGCTGAAATATTGTATACGAAAATTTAGTTTAAAAATCAAAGTTAATAATATAAAGCATTTGTGTAGAGCTCTCATAAAAACATCTAACATTTCTTGATAAAAATCCCTCACCACATCGAAAGCGATAAAAGTCTACATGAAAGAAAAGCGTAAAATCGCACCAAAACGGCACAATCACCGATTTGTATCGATTAGTTAAGGGCGGTAGTCATGGGTGCACTTGTTTGACTCCGATTTGTTAGTTTGCTTCTGATCGTGTGACGCTTGAATTGCTTCGAATTCGAATGCGAAATGTCATACGCACACAACTGCATACGATTGTAAGTCTGCATGAGTGTTTTTGTTTGTATTTGTCAATGCGTATAAATACGAAAAGCCGTTTGGGACTTAACCATAAATTGTGGCTTAGATTGAATTGGAAATTGGAGCAAAAATAACAAAAAAATGTGTCATCAAAAAAACCGGAGGCAATATAACGCTAACATATTATATATGGATGATATAACAGTGATACGAAATACATTCACGCTTTAAGGATTGCTAGCATATCTAGTATACACAGACATGAATTTTGTCGTAGAATAAAAAATAGCATATAACTTTGACGCACTCGACGTCACAATCATGGCCGAATAGTACTTGTACAATTCAACTAATACATATTTGGTATTCAACTTATGTATGTATGCATATGAAGCAGTATTTTTATTACGAATGTAGTTGAGTAAATCTGTGCAATCGATTGTTCATATGTAACGTTATTGGATTGGTACCACAAGAAATTCGATGATGAATTTGCACTTGGTAAGACTTCAACTGTCACTCAATTTGGCTCTCGGGCATGAAATGGAAAAGGCATGTATGATCAATCGCTGAAGTGTACATTGTTAATTCCAGTATGTACAAACTATACATAATACATTTTTTAAATTTTTATCGCTTAGAAGGTCAACGACATGCTGCTGGCTGTCGGAAAAACTTAGACTTAGCTACGACTTTAACCAGATACTATACTGTTGACCAAAATTGAGAATGTTATATGACACAGCATTAAATATTAGTTAAAATAATCTCCTTAAATTAAATTTTTAAAGGGAGTTACAAAATTGTTGCTCAGAACTAAAGACACTTCTTTATTTATAATCAAAAACTTTAGAGTAGCTTTCAACGATTCGGTCGGCGGTTCGAGCCAGTCGCCCTAAAACTTTTAAGTTTGTATTAAAATTACCAATATGTGACAAATTGCAGTTTAATCAAACTAATGTGCAAATTGAAGCATGAAATAAGAAAAATTATTTATTTTATTTCTCGGACACACTTATACCGATATAAATAAAAACAGATCTACACCATGATTAAGCCTTTTACATGCGTACGTACGAAATGCTAAGGCTATTCACTTAGGTGTATTAGGAGTTTAATTTGGTGCAATATCATTAGTCATCCTTTTACGTTAATTATAATTTTGTTTCGGAATAACACATTTCCATGTAGTATCATTCCAATCATGGTGGGCTTTAACCAACGACCATCTGCCTCTCTAATATTTTACCGAATTTGAAAGTTCCTACATTCGCAGAACCTGTACAACTTGTGGCATTTAGGAGTGCACCAATAGCTAACTCTGCAATTGATATTCCATTAAGCTACAACAAATAAACTAGCCTAGCGAAAATAATATAAGATCTCTTACCGACAGTGTGAAAATTAATGAAATGAAATGATAAACACCGCGCACTCCCCACGTAACGGTACTGTTGAAAACTACTAAAAGCGCGATAAAGCAATAACTAAATTCTCGTACGCTAGAGTTTTAATTTAGTTTTATGGCTAGGATGTTACAAAAGGACTTTATAAGAGCCAGGGTAAAGATTGGTACCGCCCACATTTCGGTGAAAGCCCATACCTCAGTTTCTATCCGATTGATATCGCCCCAAATATAATGCAGTGCAAAAATTAGCGGAATCAGCACTCCTACTTTTCATAAAAAGGAATTTTAAATTTTATTTGATTCTTTCACTTTCTACTACATAAATTAAAAGTGATTAAAATAAAGAGATAAAATAAAAAGTTCATTTGAAGTGTGTCACCTTATAACAAAAATTGTCCAAATCGAAACAAAACTGTTTAAGCCCCTGAATGTCGTGAACTCCAATATCTATAGTTGAGTTTTTTCCGAAAATGGGAGAGAATCCTTCGACTATGCAAGTATGTCAGTGAGTTACAAATGGGTTGAATCGGGTCAGTACATCAATTAGCCGGGTGACTTTTACTTTTGTAATAAAATTGAAAAAGTGTGTTTACTGATAACAGTGAATATGTGTCGTTAGAACACATTATATCGGGTGAATACTTGGTCTAGTCGTCATTTGACTAACAAGTCTAATGTACATCAAGGTATTATCACGGCCTTAAACCTTCCAAATGGCAAGAACTTAGCTCCTAGATTGATTTTGATTAAGTTTTCAGCTGCATTCATTGGGCTAAGGCTTTATTTATATTTATGAGCTAAGCGATTTTTGTTTAATAAAAAAAAAAAAAAAAATAGATCAAAGAATTTATTCGTAAATTCTTGACCAAACAAATTACTGTAATGATGCCCCAGTTTCTATATTTGCCAAGCAAGGATTCCTGCGACTTTTTCCCATTTTGAAATATATATAGATTCAAATCGCTGAAAGGGGTAAGGTAAATCCCAAAATTCGAGTTTGACAAGTGTTTTGATGATTGCAAGAGCACTGGCATAGGTGCATAATATCGATTGGGGAATATTGAAGCGACAACAATAATATAGACGAATTTTTCAAAAGTTAAAAAACACCGATATTTTTTGAACACATAACCGTATGAGACCA